AATCTTTACTTAGTATTAGTAAATGTGGCTGAAAGACCAATTTAGGTCTTTCAGCCTTTTAGTAGATAACCCCCTAATACCGTGGGAATTAGGGAGTTATCTACTAAGCTGCTGCAAGATGCAGCCGCGGATCGGAGTTTGCATGCCACAGTCCAGGTGTTAGTCCCCTTGAAACATCTTGTGTGTTTTAAAATTCGCCTGTCTATTGAAGTCTATGGCGGTTCGCCGGGTTCGCGAACATTTGCCGAAATTCGCGTTCGCCGTTCGCGAACCGAAAATCTTATGTTCGCGACATCACTAATCAGGAGTTGAGCTCAGTTTGAACAATGAAAGAGAATACCACTCCAACCCTCTCTCAAATTGATAATTCTGGTGATCCTCCTGACAGCCATGCTTTAGATTTTGATTTGTGTTCCATCTAGTGGTATTTTATGGCTCAGCTGTATTTTTATTTTTTATGTTATTTTAAGTGATTTCCCTATCCACATTTGTTTGCAGGGCACTTGTCCTACTCTTACCCCCATTTTACTTTCTTTTGCAGCCCTCTAGCCCTTTCCAGGACTTTTTTTAGAGGCATTCTTGTGGCCAAAAGTTCGGGTCCCCATTGACTTCAATGGGGTTCGGGTTCGGGGTCAAGTTCAGGGTCATGTTCGAGCCCGAACCCGGACTTTTTTTCAAAGTTCGGCCGAATCCGCCGGACCCGAACATCCAGGTGTCCGCTCACCTCTATTCTTAAATTCAATACCCTATGGCTTAAATGAGCAGTCAAATCAAACAAATATTGAATTTTTCCTTTTTTTCCCTGGCTTTGTCCCTCCTTTCCTTTCTCCTTTATTTTTTTTTTTTTTAAATCATAGTATTCTTTTGGCAGGTCATATTATGTGATACTTTGTGTTTTTAATCTTTTTGTTTGAATAAATGTCTTGGTTTGCAGGGAGCACTATGCTTTTCTATTTTTCTCCTAGGCACAAGTGGAACATTCTACAGAGTGTGAGCAACCAGTTTTTTTACCCTTTTACTGGTTTACTTTTAATTATTTACTGAACCTATTTTTAGTAAAACATTAGTTTGGTATTTGGATACTTTGCACACCATCTTTGAGGATCACGCTACTCTGTGTCGTTCATACACATAGTGGGAATGTATTTACCCTTTTCGTACATATTGTGAACTTATTTTTATATTTTACATTTTGGAATTCATTATTGGGACTCTAAAAGTGTCTACTTATTTTTACTGTGTTAATATTGGTCTTTCGGGCTCTATCATATGTATGCTGCTGGCTATAAGCCTCATATGAGTTGATTTAGCTTCTGTCACGGGTGGCGGTCCGGAAACCAGGACCCCTGAGTGCCTGATGAGAAGTTGGGAGTCTCAGCGTGGTAATGGACTATCAGGCCCTGGTGCAGGGTAACCACACGTCCTCTGGCGTTGAGCACCAGCGTTTGCGCGGCCACATACCAGAACCCTGATGCAGCTACAGCGGATCCCAGGAACTAGGAGCTTGATATGCAGACCTCCCAGGAACTGGATAGGGGGGCTCTGCAGCAGACATGTATCCAGTACAGAAAAAAGGCAAAGCTAGGATAGTCACCAAACATGAAAACAAGACAGAAATAGTAGAACCCAGAACCAGAGAAGGATAGGAAGCTAAACCCAGAACATGTACACAATACATAAGGGAACATTAACTAAACAGGGGCAGGACAGGACTGTACATGGACTGGGAATACAAACTAAAACAAGACAAGATATGATAGGCAAAACAAGAGGAGAAATAACTATATATGAGTACTATATATGAAAATCATGGGGATTTAGTCACATTAAATGATCATACATTGCATAAGCCTGCCAACAACGCCAATGTACCCCATATCTGGCAGGTCCTACTCTGCCTAATGTATACTAAAAGAACCATAAGAAACACACATATAGCACTTACCTGCAAGAAGGGGCAGAAGGCTTGAGCAGCTGCCTGCAGGACACTGAAACAAAAGGAATGATGGAAAACAAACGGGTGTGGCAACATAAAACAAACATTTAAAGGAAACCTAGACACTGGGAATTCCAGGGACGGATTACAGAAATGAACCCAGAAAAACCCAGCATAAAGAAAACCAGACATAGAATAGAAAACCAAAAAACCAAGGAAAAACTAAATAAGAATTGTAAAAACAGTACTGGATATCAGAAGCCATCACCAGACTGATCCGCAGAACAAGGCATGATGTGACAGCTTCTGAATATTGCACTATAGTGATAGTGATATTTCTCTTCTGTTACTTTATTTGTAGGGATTGGTGACCCTTTTTCGAGTTTTTTAGTTGATTAGCTCTCATTTTATTTGAAATATTTCTTGTCTTTTCTTACTCTCTAGCTTTAGACACTTTTCTGTGTTCATTTGCTATTTCTTTGCTATTATGTGATTCTTTATTTGTTAGATATGTTGAAGTTCCATATGATATTCATGATTGTGGATTTATGTAGAATGATAATGATTCTCATAAAAAATAATTACATTCTTCAAGAGAAAGAGAGTCTCATCATGTATTGGTGTATAATAAAAAAAAATTATTTATACAATCACACAAAAATTGCAGAAGCAATGTGATAATAGTCCAAAAGCAGCTTGAACACCAATACAGAGTCTCTCTTTTCCAATAAAAACAGGGGGGTAGGTAGAGCGCTTCAGTAATTCTTGACAATCTGGAGAGAACCAGAGAAGAAATAATTGTGTAGTATTTAAAACTGTAGTGATGAAAGGTAAAATAAAAGATGCACACTCACACTTTCCTGGAGCTTCAATATATCTCCAGTCTATGCACCTGGGCGGAATAATCCCCGCCTATGGATCAAGTGCAGAGGTAAATAAACAAATAAAAATTGTTTATGGTGAAGTATGTAGAACTATAAAGCAAGGGTAGGTAAAATCTAAAAAAATTTACACTCAAGTGCAATGGAGCCATAAAACCTGACTCAAGGATACAGGTGTAAATATAAATTCTTTTGTCCGTGTATATGTGGAGATAAACAAACAGAACCACAATAGTGTACACCATAAAAAGGAGTGTAAGCATAAATAAATAAGTTAAACCTACTTACATGCTAAAGAGCAAGTTCCGGTTTGCTCAATCCAAAGCACTTGGGTGGTATGATCCCCACCAGGGACCATGTTTTTTTATTTGGCTGAATTGTTCCCAATTAGGGTATCTAAAAAGCTTGAGAGGCGTAACATTCTCATTTGAAGCCCGTGAATAGAATTTGTGTGAGATAAATTGAGTTAACTTGGGTGGATCGGAAGGGAGCCCCATGCCACTATATGTTGTCTGTTAGCAGCATGCAAAGCATGATTACAATCGATGCAATCTATGCACAGAAATTACTAGCCCAAAACTCTTGTAACTCTGTATAAGTAACATAAAAATAATGCATTTATTTCACACACATTTATGAAGTATCCAACTCACAAGTAAAGAACAGATCAGTTTTACTCATCAATCAAGGTGTGATCTCCAATCTCTGGGTGCTGTTATTTTTTATATTAAATGTTAGAGTCATCAACAAACAGCATCATTTACCATGTGTAAACAAATAAAATTACCCATAAGCTGTGAAATCAAATTCATGCTTTTTTGAAAACACACATGCTCATTGTTTTTAAATGATTCACTCACTAGGTAACTAATGCGTTATTGAATAGAACACCTTTAGACACTCTCTTGGAACTCTACAGTATACTTTCAATAACAGTATATTGCTTGTTCATAACATTCTCAAGTTATTTCCTGCTCCTAATGTCTGCAAGTGTGCCCCATTCATCAGTATGATGCCAGTCTAAAACCCTACTGTAATAACCTCCTTATTATGTATTTCTTCAGAAATTTCAAATGGACAAAGATTGACAGTTTAATTGTAGGGGTGTAAGTGGCAGTGAAGTCAGATGTGGGGATGCTCTGAGAGACTTAGTTGACTAACTAATATACGTCTAGATTTAATATTTTTGCATGTGCTTTCCAAGTGAATTAATATTTTGGAAAACTTTTAACATTTAAAATATAAAAAAAAAATTAATACATCAAAAAATATAAAAATATTACAAACATTGTATTATTCTTC